AAAAAAAAAATTACAAAAAAAAAAAAACATTTAAAAATTACAAAAAAAAAACAAAAACTATATATATTGTATTAAAATTACAAGAAAACTCAAAATTACACAAACTAGAAACGTATATGTGCATACATATGTATGTTCAAAAACATACAAACGAAAATTAAAATGAACTTACAAAAAACAAAAATGTGGAAATTATAGTTATAACAGAAAATGAAAAATTACAACAAAAAAAATATAAAAAACTCAAAAAAAAAAAAATCCAAAAAAAATCGGTTTGTGCCAAATTAAATAAACAATGTAAATTACAAACATAAACCAAAAAAAAAAAATCCAAAAAAAATCGGTTGTGCCAAATTTTAAAATCAAATGCGAGACAATTGCAGTGGCTGGTGGCTAAAGTGGGTTTTTAGAAAAACAAAAACAGTGGCTGGTGGTACAGCAATCAAAAACTGCAAACTCATTAAAAATTGTTCCAAAAAAAAAAAACTAAAACAAATAAACGAACGTAGAACTAAATTAAAAGCACGCGAAAAAAAAGGTTCTTTTATTGCGTAACTGTACCACCAGATATACCACGCCACCATTCAACAGCCGTTATAACGGCGCATAAAACCACGCCACTAAATAACGCCAAAAACACCGTAACTCCGTTACAACGGCATATATAACCACGCCACCTAACGCCAAATGCATACATACATACATATATCGCTAAGCCAAGGCGCGATATCTGCGTAGCAACTACACCGAAGACGACTACAAGATTTGCAGCAACAACAACATCAACGAGTCAACAGCAACGAGTAGCAGTTTTCAGCTTTTGGGTATGACATACTATTTGTGAAACACCATTACATTTTATAATAAATTTAAAAACTTTACATTATATTCCTTTAAAACTTTGCTAAACATTTTACTACTTAAATATTTGCTAAAACTTTAGATTGTATTCTCAAACAAAATTTTAAAGACCTACTGTACTTTTCTTGTATTACATACATACATTCATATTACTTGCATTTATATTACATACATAAATTTTAAAGACCTACTGTACTTTTCTTGTACTACATATATACATTCATATTACTTGCATTTATATTATATACATAAATTTCTAAGATTATATTCAACACTGTTTTTTCTTATGGAATTTCAGCTTCAGTGGTACAGTGATGTACAAATTTAATATTTTTTTAAACGTAACTTCAACAATTTAAAGTTTTTACAAAATTTTTCTTCGATTCTTTGCAACATTAGGCAGGAGTCAAATTTTGGAATTTTCAAAAAGTTTTTCTTTTTAATGCGAATATTCGCCTGTGCCATTGCCGTGATTTTATACAACTTTTAGAATTTCGTTTGAAAATGGTAAAATATTTCAACGATTATAATTAACAATAAACGTTTTCCTCAATTTTCTTTGCCGTTGTAGCCAAATTTCGAATATTACAACTTTATTCAAATAACTTTTTTTTTTCAATAATACAATAGTTCGATAGTTTTTATAGATCTTTTGCTTTGCGTGTGTGCCAGATGTCAGATGTCGAACTTGTATTCAAAGATTTACAAGCAAAATTTTCAAAAGTTACCAAGCGTGTTCTTCAAAGCCGTCCACTTTCAACAAATCGGGAAAAAGTTGACGAATATAAGAAATCTTTAGTCGAAACTTACAACGATATTTTAATTCTAGTAAAAAATTCGGAACAACAAGGAAACAAGCCAGCTTCTATAATTAAAAGTTTACCGCGGTGCAGAGAAAAACTACTTCAGTGTTTTCAAAAAAATGGGTGTAAAGTTTTAGTACCCGAAGATTTTTCAGCTCTTATAAAAGAAGATATTTTAAATCCTGAAGTAGATTCCGACGACGACTTTGCTGACGCTTGTTCAGCTGGCACTCCAGAAGTTTTCACCGTTAAAAAAAGTTGTTCTTTGCCTTCATTTAAAGATTTTTTACAAATTGAAGAAACGCCTTGCGTAACGATTAGTTCACCGAATATAAATTTTACTGAATATACAAACGAAATAAAGATGGCAACACCTGAGCAAAAGAAATCATTTATTAGCCTATGTGCGTCTATAATCCGAGAAAACTATAGTGGTGACCCCCTATCGCTCGACTCATTCATTGACAAAATAAACTTAATTGAAGAATTATCGGATGAAAGTTTAACCACAACATTTATAGCATTTTTAAAGTCTAAACTCGAAGGCAAAGCGCGTGAGGTTTTACCCAGTCAAATAATTTCAGTGGATCAAATAAAGGTTGCGCTACGCAGCAGAATCAAACCAGATAATTCCAAAGTTGTCTCTGGCAAAATCGCGTCATTACATATTACTAATAACAACTATGCCGATTTTGCGAAGCGAGTAGAGGAATTATCTGACGCATTAGAGCGATCTTTAATTATTGAGGGTATGACTCAAGCAAAAGCCCATGAGTTAGCAGTAGAGCAGACAGTAAATGTTTGCAGACTGAACAGTCGTTCAGAACTAGTAAAATCTATTTTAGCATCAACCACTTTTACGGATTCGAAAGATGTAGTCGCAAAAATGATTGTAGAACACAATAATGAAGTCAAAGAGCGGCAGGTGTTATCTTTTAGGTCACGGGCAAATAGACCAAATAGTTTTCGAGGAGGTTTTAGAGGGCATAGCAATTATGGCTATCACAACACTAGTTTCAGATTTAATAACGGCAATACAAATAGGCACAATAATGGCAATAACACAAGGCACAATAATAATCAAAATAATTACAATAGAAGTAACAATTTTAACAACAGACAAAATAATTACAGAAATAGCACAAGCAATCGTTCGGCAAGCAACAGAAACAACTCTTCTCGTTCAAATTCTAGAAACACTTCTAATGTTCGATTTTTAAACGCCGATGCCCCTCAGGAGCGAGCACTGGGGGAGCAGGAGCTAAGCAATTAAACGTAGTTACCCCTGAAAAATCAATTTACTGCTTGAACCTTAATTATTCAGATTTTATTGAATTAAATTGTACCGATTCTTACAAATTATGCTCGTTTCTCGTAGATTCACAAGCAGACATCTCTTTAATCAAGATTTCCAGTTTAGCAAGAAATTCAGCAATTAACAGTAGCAATACCATAAACATCACTGGTGTAACAACTGAAACGGTTACAACATTGGGAACTGTAAGTACAAACTTGGTTGTATCAGGTTTTTTTATTCCGCATACTCTTCACGTTGTAGATGACAGTTTTAATATACCTTCTGACGGCATACTAGGCAAGGACTTTTTAAAGACGAACAGATGTATTATTAACTACGCAAATGACAGTATAACTATCGGCATCGGGACAGAAAGCACTAAAATAGCAATTGTACACGGTACAAATACCGACACCTTAGTCATTCCTCCAAGATGTGAAGTTTTTCGTTTATTTAAATTGACTAATTCCAAAAACCCTGTTTTCGTAGACTCTCACGAGCTTTGCTCTGGTGTTTTTACATCAAAATGTGTCGTTGACACAACAAATCCAATTTTAAAAATAATAAATACTACGGACGAGGTAAAATACGTTCGTAACTATAACATCAAAGCTGAGGATATAAGTAACTATAATGTCTACAAAATAAACGAAACTTCCCAAGAGACAAAACGTTTAGAGGAACTAAAGTCAATTTTACAAAAACAAATGCCAAAATATGCTAAAAACAAATTGCTTGAATTATGTTTACAATACGCCGATGTATTTGCCTTAAAAACAGACCGTATGACACTCAACAACTTTTACGAACAGAAACTTCGACTGAATGACAAGACTCCCGTTTATATCAAAAACTATCGATTGCCGTACTCACAACGCGAAGAAATAAAGGCCGGTCCACATAAGGCCCGTTTACATACAACTTTGGCGTTGCGTTGGCGTTGGCGTCGCTTCGACAGCTGACTATGAATACATGCATTTATATGAAAGTCTCCATATAACCAAAGTTGGGCAACGCCAACGCCAACACAACGCAGAAAGATGGCCAACTCTCAACTTTTCGCGTGCGTCGTTCGTCAGCTGTTCTAAATAATCAAAATTATGTGATTTAATTTTCATTTTTAATCAAATCCGGGCAAGAAATATAGTTTTTAATGCAATTATTGATGTAATTTTTTTATTTATCTGCCGCTAGTGTGTTAATTTAGTAACCAAAGTATTCTCTGCTACGCGTTCATTGTAGCAAGCACGGGCGTTACTCGCGCTGCTGTCAAAGCGACGCCAGCGCCAACGCAACGCCAAAGTTGTATGTGGACGGGCCTATAGAACTTTCGCGTTGGCTTTGGCGTTGGCGTTGGTTTGACAGAACGCACGTTAAAAGTATGCTTGCTACAATGAACGCTTTGACATCTATTGTTTTCATTGTCATCACCAAAGCGAAAATTTTGCAGTGAAAATATAATTTAAAGTGTGTTTGTTTTTTAAAGCTATCGCAATTAAAATGTTGTCTAAAGAAGCGGCTGAAGTCATTTTAATTGCACTAATGATGTACGAGACTCGCGAATGTTTGCGAAAAATAAATTCCCGCCGGGAGTCTTGGGTGAGACCACTTTACTTAAGTCGGGATATCAATGGACTATTTGCATCAAGTTTTGAAGAAATGTATAATAATGACACTGAGCAGTTCAAAAAAACGGTTAGAATGAGCAGAACGATGTTTGACCATCTCCTCGGACTTGTAGGAGAGCGTCTTACTAAGCATTCCAATAGGCCATCAATACCTGCCGCATTAAGACTCTTTTTAACTTTGAAGTAAGGAAATTAAAGACATTAACCTATAATCTTTTGACAAAATAGAAATGAACTTGGTATATTTATAGTTATTTAGCACATGGAGGTAGTCAGCACATGCTCGCCATATCATATAAAATGGGACGCTCCACGGCAAATAAAATCGTTTTGGAAACATGTGAGGTTCTTTGGGATGAACTGGGTGGCATATACTTGTCTATACCAAACCGACATGAATGGAAACGTATTGCAAACGATTTCAATTCGATTTGGAACTTTCCCAATTGTGTAGGTGCTATTGACGGAAAGCACATAATATTAAAGTGCCCTCCTAGCTCGGGATCCTTATTTTACAACTACAAGGGAACATACTCCATCGTACTTTTGGCATGTTGCGATGCTAATTACACGTTTACCTGCATCGATATTGGTGCATATGGCTCTCAAAGTGATGGTGGTGTATTGTGCAATTCCAGCTTTGGGAGAAGACTTTTCAACAACCAATTAGACCTTCCCGAGGATGATATTCTGCTACACTCTACCCTTAGATTTCCTCATTTTTTTGTTGGAGATGCAGCATTTCCCTTAAAAAGCTATATTATGCGACCATATCCAGGTTTGCATTACCTATTGAAATTTTATTCGTTTTTCTAAACATACATATACGCTTTTTAGGAATACGTTTGTCGCCTGACCGCGAACTTTTCAATAAGCGTCTTTCAAGAGCTCGGCGCGTTATAGAAAACGCGTTTGGAATTATGACAGCTCGCTGGAGAATTCTTCTGTCCCCATTGCAAATGCATCCAACGAGTGCCGAGAGCGTTGTCAAAGCAACAGTGCTATTACATAACTTTTTAAAAATGCACGATGGCACTTATTGCCCACCAGAATTTGTCGACCAATACCAAGGAGACAATATTGTCGGTGGTTTATGGCGACAGGAAATTACAACGCCCCTTCGAGGAACTGGTCGATTAATGGCGAACAATGCCGCCAGAAGTGCTTTCAATTTGAGGGATCAGTTAAAAGACTACATAACCGCGCACCCTATTAATTAAATAATAATATTCTCTTTCATCAATTTGTTCTTAAACTATACTTTTAGATGTACCTATTTTTTCATAAATTCATTCTTTATTAATTAGTATTGGTTGCTATCCCAGAATCCATCGTAGTCTGATTTTTCGTGAAATCTACGAAAATGCGATCACTGGATCCGAATTAAAGCGAAGGAGTGAATTAAAAGTATATGCTACGTTCGTAGCTAATCGAATTCAAGGATAGCATTTTCGTAGATTCCACGAAAAATCGGACTACGATGGATTCTGTGATAGCCATGATTAGCACATCAGTTTTGTTTTGCTTTTTAAGCACATACAAAAACGATACAACAAGATACAGCCCGCGACAAAACGGTAGCACATCAAAATTTTGATCAGTTTTGACTATATATCTTTTCTTTCTTCATTATTTTTCTATAAAATTATAGCTCATTAGCTAACAAAAATCTTAAAAATCCAAATTTCACAAACTTTTCATACTAATTTCAATCATATTTATTAGAATTTCTAATCATTTTTAGTATGCTGTTTTATAACATATGCAATTTTACAAATTTTGAAATTTAGATTTATATGGCTTTTGCTGGATAAAGAACTATAATTTAATAAAAAATAAATGAATGTTAAAGACAAAAGAAAAGTAGTAAAAACTGGTCAAAATATTGATGTGCTATCTTTTGTCGCGGGCTGTAGTAAACATTAATTTTTAAATTTTTAATATGTACCACTATTTTAATTCCGAAATTGGTTTTTAAATTAATCATACTCACTGTAAACACCATACATTTTAAATAAAATATTAGTATTATATTGTACATACGTGTGTATGTATAAACATTAACTTTTTATTTTATAATTACAAGGCACAACAAAAAACACCTAAATATAAATTATGAGGATTCAGTGCTCTATTTAAAAACATAAATTATGAGGATTCAGTGCTCTATTTAAAAACATAAATTAAGAGGATTCAATGCTCTATTTAAAAACATAAATTAAGAGGTTTGAATCCCTTATTTAAAAAAGACTATTTCACTAAGTTGTACACCTGTGTTCACAAATATTGGAGTAGAATTCAAAATGAAATTTTGTGCAACCTAAGAATATTTATTTTTAATAATTTTCATTCAAATTCTAGTTTATAGTAGATTCGAAACTTGGATTTAAACGTATTCGGTTATAAATAAAAATATGATTTAAATGAAAATTATTAAAAATAAATATTCTTAGGTTGCACACAATTTCATTTTGAATTCTACTCCAATATTTGTGAACACAGGTGTAAATAAGTTACGATTACACAGGTACAAAAACAATTTCACAAAGTATTTTTTTGAACACAGGTGCAAATAAGTGTAAGGTACAAAAACAATTTCAGAAAGTTATCAATTACGGATTCGCAAACAGCACAATAGTAACAATTAACTGCAACCCGAAAGCTTTAATAATAGGATTTATTTTGGAACGAATTTCCGTCATCCCTTGTCAAGTTTGGT